TCAGTCGACATAAATGACTGAACGATAATTCAACATCGAATAATGGATGAACCGACCAAACGTTGCCTTACCTATTGGACGGCTAATATTCTTTGTGGCTTGTTGATTTCTCCCATTGGAAGTTAACCCTAGTCGAGCCTACTTACCATATCCCGACTTACCTTATGTTGGCCACTTGACTTACTATATATATTGGTGCCTTTGCCTTTGTTGGAACCGTCCAAAAATTGAAGCCGTGAGGAAGAAGAAACTGCCGTGTCCAGCCGTGTCTTATGCCTTCATCTCCTTCGTGATTTCTTCTCCACCCAAACTGCTTGAGTCTTTGTGAACCTTACCTGAGTGGTATCCATCCTAAGTGTGTGGATTGAATCAATTAAGCAAGAGAAGAAAGCAACCATAGGAAGAAGAGTAGCCGACGGTATGGGTTCTTCCAGTTTGATGTTGAAACTCGGTTTTAATGGTTAACTGAGCCCGGGAATCAGCGTGAGCAGCAAGAGGAAGGTCCTAACACATCACACTCTTCTTTTTGTACTTCTGTTAAATTTGCAGGAAATTTGCCATCTATGGGCCTTTGAAACTTTTTGTTGGACCAAAATACCCTTCATCTTTTATTGCCAAATTGAAAAATCTCCTTTCCCATTAAAAATTCCAACTTCAAAGCATGAAGACATTTTAAAAAAAACTAGAACAACCAAAAGCACAGATAGGTCACACAAAGTTATCCTACGGTCGCAATATACACCGTTCTAGATTCCCAAGGTTTCGTAAGATTCACGATCTTAGATCAAGGGAATGTTCGAACAGGTCAAGTCCAGGTGTTCTAACAGGAAAATCAATGCAACACGAAGGTATGTAAACAAAAGTTCGAATTTCCACGCAACAAGCCTCACACAGTGACTATATGATAGGTAAAGCACAAAATCAACTACCAACTTGCAATCAAAACTCAACACTTTAAAAACAGAGCAAATAATTCCTAAATTTTCTAGCACAAACAATGGTTGCCAAGCAATGACAACCCCCAATGCTAACGATCACCCCACACGATGATCTGCTAATGCTGAAATTTAAAACTAAGTTAAGCCAATATACCAGAGCGGACTATCTGAGTCCGTAAATTATGAGAGTTGCGAATTTATCACTTTAGGACCACCACTATTCGTCCTAAAGTCTCTGGAAACTGTAGTAACCAAAAAATCACGATCGAGTCCCGAACGCCCGAAGAACAACGCTGTCCAGATTCTTCTGCGTACCCTGAAACAGAAAACTTTCAACCAAAAAATGTCAGAAATAATATAAGGAACAAACTGCCTGAAGAGACCGTCGCCAGAAAACGTTTCACGCGCCCGCACGCGCCGTATCTTCCCTCTGCGTGTGGTCCTCACACGCTACCACACGCGCCGCCTTCGTCCAACACGCGCCGGCCTGCAGGGTTCCCCTCCTCCTACACGTCACGCCAGTGGTCTCCGTTTCCCCAAACTCCTTCTAGATTGATCAGAAAACGTGAAAAACGGAGACTGATTTAAACAGTTTTTGGACAGCTTCTTCGATCTGATTTCTGCTGCGTTTCTGCCTATTTTCTGGACGATTTCTGGTAGATTTCACGAGCCAAAACCTTCACTTTGAAGCTCTGATACCAATTGTTGCGGAAGCTCTCTCAAAAGGATCTTCAAACAGTTATTTTTCAGGCTCAGTCCAACATACCTTTCTCTTTCTCTACCAACAACCAATCCAAACGGCTCCAAACCACAACTAATTGATTCACCCTGGTTGCTATACAATCTTACTCACGTAGGACAAGAAAAGGATGATGATTTATGGCCACAAAGGCTAGGAGAAGACACCACAAAGGTATACTATGAAAGAATTACCAATTGCACACGTTATATAAGTGTTTTGGACACTTCTGAACACCTTTTTCTCACACAAAAGGGGGGCAGTCGGGATTCACTAGTTTCTTCTCTCAAAATCACACAATCATCATATCAAAGAGGCTAGGGTTATATTCATATATATACTCTAGGGTTAGGTTTTAAGTTGGGCTATTAAATGGGTAAACGGGACAAGATTCAAGCCATCCATAAGGAATACAATTGGGCCGGGTGTAGCTCATGGACTTGGTTGTTGGACTTATTTCATTCATCGACCTATGCCTATGAAATAATATTAACCCACGTTAACATCATAGTTCGGGATTTATTGGGTATCAAAAACCCAATAATATTCAACAATATATAATTAGAAAATATAGAGTGACCACTCTTTTTAACTGCTCAAATTCGAATGCCAAACAAATTACGAATATAGGAAAAATATCTAAATTGTGAGACTTGAGAATTAAGAGATTATTGAGAGCACAGAGCTGTATGAGAATGAGAGTAGAGGAAACTTCAAAGTTGTGTGGAAATTGAATTTTGATTACCTCTACAGTTAGGGATGGCAATTTGCCCCGCTCTGACCCTGCCCCGTAAAGGGGAAAATTATTATAATAATAATAAATAAATAGGGAGACAAAAGGGGCAAGCTGCCGCCGTTCTCGTCTAAGGCAGGGTGGGGGTGCCTCATCCCGTTGCCATCACTATCTACGGTTACTGAAAATGGAGTGGAGGAAGAAAAAAAAATTTAACCTTCAAATTTCTCAGGCAGCGGCCCGTGAAATTTGAATGGTGATTAGACATGATTTGTCATTGTTGCAAAAACACCAATATGGAGTCAGACGTGTTGAAATGGCCCCTCTGAAACCAGCTAGTGCGGTTCGCACGAGAAAATGTTGGCTCGACTTGCAGGCGACACTGTTCGCACTCAACATCCCTAGTCCCCTTGTCGGTCCCATCGATACGCCATCATTTATTGCTTCAAAAACTACCCGTTTCATGGGTACGATTTGTTTTAACTCACGGTTTAGAGATCTAAAGGATGCATTCAATTACTGGAACTTTTGAGATCTTACGCTTTTGCTTCCTGGGCCATCCTTTTGGACTTGTTAATTTCCTTGGCTTCAATTTTTTTTTTTTTTAATATTTGGTCTATTATGACTTGGATTTCCATCTTAAACGATCAATTTTGTTAAGAGGAACAATCCAAATCTTATATTTTGATCTATATTTCAATATTTAACCGAGCTAGAAATTATCCCTTAACATGGTCAACCCCTCCGAAGTACGTAATACAGAATTCAGTTTGGACAGAACACACCACTCGGCATTTATCCTCAAATGAGTTTTGCTACACGTACCCGGAGTTTGACACTCCGGGTTACATGCTATTCACATGGGGTCGGAGGCCCCATGCCAATAAATGTGTGGGGTCCGACCCCCTCACTCACATCATGTAATTCGAAGTGTCAAACTCCGGATACAAATAACAAAACTCATCCTCAAATTCTTATGATCAAATTCAATACTAAAGTACCACTAGTTCAATGTTAGTTAACGCTACCAAACCAGCTCGCAAAATAGAATAGTTAGCACCAAACGAGGATCGTGCTTTACAGAAGTCGAAGACAAGCTTGTAGACCCGTAAACAGTGGTTGCGTAGTTCATCTGCGCAAACATTTAATACTAGTAAATACTACCGAAATAGTTGTAAGTGAATTCAGTAGAATAAATTTCACACATTTAGTGTTCATAAATACGCCACAGTTGCAACAACTCCTATTCTAATAACTATATATTGGGCTTCTTGGAGGAGAATTTCTTCATCGGGATACATTTCCCTTTCATCGAATTCTCTTTCTTCGATTCCTCCTCGGCTGCATCTCCCAGCCCCGCCATGCTGCTCCTGATCGATGCAAATATTGCTCGTTTGGTAAGTTAAACGGTAAGACTCAAGACAATATTATCGAAGCAAAATAAGCTAAAACTCCATAATTAATTAAACTAGAAAAAGTACACAAAGTGAGACAGGAAGTACACAACAGTCAATAATTCTAATGTATAAGCAACACAGTGAATGTGCATAACTGGTACTGCGACAAAGAGTTGTCTATTAGATAATATATATTCAATTCACATGCAAATGTCTGTAGAATTAATTCAAGTGTTCCCAGCCGGAAAAATTGAAAAGAGAATATTCTTCTGACCCGCCAAGAAATGGCCCGGTTTAGACGAAACCTGAAATGGACCGTGATGTAGTCCGACCCACATTCGGTTGAGTTTTGCTCGCGTCAAGCCTCTTTTTTTATTTGGATGACCGGCCTAGTTCGACCGGTTTCTTATTTTAAATGGCCTCATGGGTGGGGATATTGAGAAGTCTAGTGTGGTAAATAGGTACCGACCTAGTTGAGACGACCGAATGTATAGATCTACTTATCGAATATTTTCAAGAATCTGAAGTGAAAAAAAAGAAAAGAAAAAAGAATGAAATACCTTTCTTCATTGTGGGAGGATGATTTCTTCAATCCAGGCTCAACCTGAAGTCGTTCTTCAGTAGACATCGACTCAACTATGCTCCCACTGAAGTACTCTTTCTCCTCGGACTGCAAGTTCCCAAACCTCGGATTTTCCGACATACAACTTATCATCTCATCATCCTCCACCGCCACCTTAGCGGCAGCCTTGCAGACCACTCCTTTATGCAACCCCCCACCACCGTTCCTAGCCACGGTGCCCGGTGGTGGTTGCTTCACAATTGCAGCCGGAACACTCTTCCTAAACGACCCCGATCCACCACAGGCAATAAGGCTTAACAGCATAGAGTTTCTAGTCAATAATGGCTTGTTTCCCACCAAATTACCATCTTCAACCACCTTGGAAGTATTTGATGGAGGGGTTAAAACTGAATTTTCAAGTTTTAACTCAGTTCTGATGTTTTTATTTGGCTCTTCCTGTTGTAATTCATAAATTTCATCCGTAGAGACTCCTCTAGAACATCTAGAATGTGGTGTAGTGGAGCTCGTATAGCTTGTTTTCTCCTCGTACTCTTCTTCCTCTTCGTCCTCTACTTCTGCATTTTCTTCGTCTTCATCTCCACGATAGTGGTTGTTCACAAGTTCTTCGGGCTCTGGGTGTCGTTTTGAAGATAAATATTTGTGTTTTGGCTGCAAATTTGTATCTTGGAATTGAAGAACATTGCCAACTTGAAGATGTTGCAATTTCTCTAACACACGAATTATGAACAACATTAAAACATAAATAAACACAAATTTTAGCCTCAATTCAGGATTAGGTTTAATTATCTAACCAAAAAAGACTAACCAGTGCAGCCTTCAACTAATTCAGACCCTTTGAGTACATATTCAGCTCCTTCTGATGGATAAATAATATCATTCTCTGCCAAGTCATTCCATACATAGCCATTCTTGTAGCTCCTACAATCAAATATTACTAGTCATATAAGCATTCATTACACGCATAAATTTTTCGGGTCACCAACTTTCTTGACCTTCCGACATTGGACCGTAATTAGAAAAGCTAAATTTAACTTTCTTGACACTAAAAGTATAGACAAAAAAAAGCTACTTATTAATAACCTTTTTAGCTTAACAAAGCATGATCCATTGTCTCATGACTTCGACGAACCCTGTCTCTTTCACGGCGCACACATATATTTTCATGCAATGTAAGCATCTAATCTTCTTTAATAATCACTAGAACCAAAAGTAAGGAAGATTAAGAGTAAGATACCTTTTGCAAGACCAAGAATAGAGTGAAGGCACTCCTTTACCTCTTAGAACAGTAAGGCGCTCCATAACATCTGTTCCATTCATGCGATGAAACATCATCGTACAAATTTGTCTAAGGTGAAAATTTTCAAGAGAAAAGCGAGAAACGTTTTTAATACCTTTCAAACGAAGCTGTTGATGAACCAAATGAAATACTTCCATGTAATGTGGATGCTCAAGATGGCCATCTCTTGATAAATAGTAAACAACTTGTACTTTCTTGAATGTGGGTTTGATCCCTCTTTGTTGCATACATACTTTTGCTCTCTCTGGACTCATTTGTCTAAACCTTGGTCTCCCTGGAAAATCCATTAAAATAAGCAGCTTTTTTTTACTTCTCTGCTTATGTTGAAATTGAAAACACACCAAACCCTATTGCCCCTTTATAACGAATGTAAATGAGCAAAACAGATGTATAGGCTTGGATAGAGACAAATACAAATGTCTCGAACGCCGTGTCTACAGAAAATTCTTTTAATTTATAGAGAGAGTGTGTTAGTGATGGCAACGGAGCATGTTCGGGGCCGGATTTTGGACAACGGGGCGGGTTCGGGGCTTTCGCCCACCTTAGACAGAGTGGGGACGGAGCAACTTTTTGCCCCGTTTAATTTTTTTTATTTTATTATTATTATTATTATTATTATTATTATTTTTTTTTTTTTTAACATTCGATATACTTTTGTAGAATTTCAGGTAGTACTTCTATCGTAATCCTTTATTTGGCACATTTCTCCTGTTCAGGTTTGTAGCCCCTGTAATATTTGGTAATTATCCACCGTCCATGAAAAATCATATCAGAGGAGGACGTCTTGAAAATTAAATTATTTTTAATTTTTTTTCCCTTCACGGGGCGGGTTTGGGGCGGGGCATCCTCGCCCTGTCCCTCCCCGCATCCCATGACGGGGTGCACATCCCCGCCACGCCAACCCATTCAGGTTACCCCATTCGGGATGGGACGGGGTAAATTGCCATCTCTAGAGTGTGTGCATATATTGCGATTAACATTATTATTATTATATTTTAAATTTCAATAAAAATGGAATGTGTAATTGAAAAATTGTGAATTTCATAAAATATGTATTCAAAATTAATTGTTGACTTTAATTTAGATAAAAATCAAGATTTTAATCCCAACAAACATGGACATAATTGTATTTAATTAACCTTTTTGCAAACTGAGTCAACGTAGAAGTGAAACAAAGTTTTATCAAATTATTTTTAGACATATGGATTCAAATTTAGCTTGCAAATTGTCATTGAGGTGGATAATTGGATTCATTGTGAAAAGTTAAAGGGTTAACAAGCAGATAATTTAGATTTCAAATCGATCGACCAAGACAATGGGAGTCACGACAAGAATAACAAGGTAGAGATTCTAGATGTGCCTAATCCGAATGTGAAAGATGATTTTAGGGTATGATTGAAAACAAGTTGACCTTGGACTTGACTTTATATAATAAGACATTGACGATTAATCGAAAATTACTTAAGTAACATGAGAGTGTGTTACTAGAGAGCTTATTCCACTATCTGTCGCATTGAGAGCAGCAACGAATGAGATTGAGGTAAGAACCGACGTCCTATCTTTCTCTTCGAACATAAGGGATATGCTTATAACACTTTTGAATACATTTATTCAGATTGGGACGAAATACGGACTCACCTTATGTGTGTTTATTTATTAGTTTAATGTGTTGTAACTGAATATTGAACAAATTTGGCTGTTCTAACTTTTGATCAGTGGAAAAAGCAAGATACACATCTTATTGCAAGTAAATTTACTACTTTCAATAGCTAGAGGTGTGCAGAATCTAGGACTGAAACTAATCTACTAATTAATATGTAAATTTTTTTTTTTTTTTTTACAACGTGTCCGGGCTTGCGTCCGACTAGATCCTTGTCCCTGAACCTCCGGCCCCTCAGCAGTTCAGGGAGGTAAATCGCAGGATGTGCCCTTGTTGGCTCCCAGGTTCCCACAACTCATTTGGACTCCTTCCGCAAAGAGAGCTCTCTTCGCTGGGCGTTTGTTCAACCAAATGGCTTCCCCTCCATTTTAGCACCTAGTGTTAACTCCAGGAATCGAACTCTTCACCCTTGCTTTCAGCGTCCCTGCGAAGTGATTGTTCCACCAACTCGGATGTGCCCTGGGGGGCTAATTAATATGTAAATTTACTTTTACATGTTGTCGTCAACCCTTTATTAACATAAGACAATTTCCACGTGCTTTGTTAGCTGTAAGAGTATCACTGCAACAAACTACTAAACTTTTTGTTGTGGCAATCGTGATAATTAATTCATTTTTCTTCCTAACTTTTTACCCTACGGATCATGCAATTTAGGAGAGTAGGGCAAAATGACCGGGTCGTAGCTCATCAAGCCGTCTGAAGTTTGGACAAGTGTAAGCCCGACTTGCTTTTTTTTTTTTTTTTGAGACGATTTTTCCAGGTCATCATGCCTCAAGCTGTCTAAAGTTTGGACGAGTCTATATATATCATGAATGATTTTCTAAGTACCGGTGCTTAGCTTATGTTAAGCACCGGTGACATGACACACTGTTCACCAATTAAATGGTGTGTCATGTCACCGGTGCTTAACATATCCTGCCTGATGATAGGACATATGACAGACTTGAGCTCTTCTTCTTCCTTGGAACTTGCCGGGATGGTTTATTACTTTGCATTTGACTCTTTGATGGCAAAAAGCGGCCGTTTCCATCCATTAAAGACCAACTTGCATCAAAATTGAAAAATTATGGACTTTATAGTCTTAATAGGGACCCAAGTGCTCTAAGTGATACTTGAGGAGTTGCTGCGAGCTTACACTAACTTAGACAAGTATGGAAAAATTTCACCACTAGTCCCCAACTTATTTTTACTAGCAGTATATTGATCCTCAACATATTAAACCAACTTTTCATTATAATTTCACGGTTGTTCTTCAACCCAAATCTCTATTCAATAGTCACGTGTTACTCTCACATCACATGTCCAGCTTTACGAAGAAATATTTTGCTTTCATAATTCCACACTTGGCTCATAGTTTTGAAGTGAAACTTACTTTCTTTAAAGCACAAAATAATTTAACTCGGATTTAGACAAAATTATATGAGAACAACGTGTTTGACAATTACACCTTTAGTTGCAATGAATGCAAATTTGTTTGACGTGATGTACAATTAGCATCGTTCGTAAGATTTAACAGTGATGTAAGATTTTAAGTTAATGTTTCTAATAAAGTGATTGTTAATATAATAATTCGAAATTAGAGTAATGCTATTTGTTGTCACTCATTGTCTTTGTCATCCTACGTGACGGTTAGTAATTTAATGCATTAATGTGGTAATTTTTTATCGTTTTATACGTTAAATCACTAATTATTACATGTATACTACGTAGGATGATTTCAGTAGTGATCGATTATAAATAACATTATTCCCGATGAAATTTGCAAACTTGTCAAAATCTAGGAGGGGTACTCAGATTAGCAATGCCCTAGGGTCCAACCCTTCAGTAGATCTAAATACCCTGATTCTTTTGTCGCTGACATCTCCGTCGTGACCCCTCCTAAGTCCTAATGATTGTACAACTCTACTGTATCTTTTAGCCTATTGTCTCCTATTTTTTTGACTTTTTTAATTTCTATATTTCTAAATTATATATCTTTCTTATTTTCAATTATACATTTTTCAATAAAATAATATTATACATAAATTCAAAATTCTTGTTTATTTTTTAATCATACATTCTCATCAAAATATTATTTCAAAATGCATTTTGAATTAAAATCAGGCTCAAACAGGCATTTATATGTTTGGTCCCACTTTTTTCAAAAATTCATTTTTTTAAAAACTTATTTTTAACACATTCTTTAGTAAAATAATATTACACGTATATTTAAAATTTTATTTTTTTAATTTTTTAATCACACATTATCCAACAAAACAATATGTAAAAATGTGTTTTGACCAAAAAAATTGGGCTTAAGCAAGGACTTAATTTCCTCTATTTGAGAAAATATTTGTCTTGTTTATAATTTTGTTGGCAAAATTATTGGTTTACAGTTTACCTCAGCCTTGTACAACCTTAAATTTTTTTTTATTGTAGTTCAAAATATAGATTGACACGTAAATATTTTCAATCGATCACAATATGTCAAAATATAAACATTGTCCGTCAAATATAATCTACTTTACACTTTTCCATTAGACTGATTGACCCAATATTTAAGCATAATGGGTAGATTACTCTCTCTTCTCCCTCTTAAAAAAAATTCAAAATAAGTCTTTCGAAAAGCTTGAGTATATCAAGAATGGTTGGTTTGACACTCAAAAATATTAATTCGCAAGGATCGTCAAATGCACACAAAAACAAGACACAATTCACTTTACACCTACATTAGGCTTACGAAACCAAGATTTAAACATCACTGGTAAATAATTTTCTTTATTATCTTTCATTTTTTTTAAGATAGGAAATGTTGAGTTATTCTACACAAACAGGATCAAGGACAGGTTAAAAAACAAGGAGAACACGCGTCTACAAAGAATGAACAGTTTGGAAAAAAAAAACATTTAATCGCGTGCTGTCAAGTCAGTCTGTCCAACCCTTGCCTGTCTTTGAACCCGTTCAACTACATTATTCAAATATTATTATATCAATAAATGGTCTGTCAAATACTAATCCAACGTACAAAAGTAGCTATCGATTTGTTTCTCTATTTTTTCAAGACACAACTCTCAAAACCTAGAAACAACTTTACATATACACCATCATGCCCTACAACACTAGAGACCAAAAGAAGAAACTCTTGGATGCCCAATAAAAACCAGCCCTAAGCCCTAACACACAAATTTGAAGCCCAAAAAAATACAGTATTCTGAAAATTGGAGAGGGGTCACATATTCCAAGCCACAGAGTGGACAAGATGTGACTCAAAGCTCTTTTTCATAGGCTGACAAATTTTGATAAATTGTAAACGTTACACACAAAACTGCCCCGCCACAGTATCTAAATTTGTACAATTTCGAGTCTGATGTTATGTTTTATCTTTTCCTTGTCAGAAATTTTAATTATCTCAACATCATTACTAAAATGTCAAATTTATATTGCACGATTACTCTTTAACTTGACACTATCTTCCAATTTGATTTTAAAACTTTAGTTCGTACTAAGTCTAAGGGTGAAAAAAAGTATGGAATTGAATTACCAGTTTAGTCTAGTTTTATTTAGCCCCCCTTTTTTGTAGAGATTAGAATTAGATTTTTAGTAGATTTTGATAAAAAATGATGAAACGTATGATAGATAAATTATGAATCTCATAAAACATGGGTTAAAATTTATCGTTAACTTTAATTTAAATTAAAATTTGAGTTTTTATTTCTATCAAACATGGGCTTTATTTTAATGATTTCAAATACTA